CTTATCTCTCCTCCTTCTTTCCTATCAAACATCTATCGTCCTTATCTCTCCTCCTCCTTTCCTATCAAACATCTATCGTCCTTATCTCTCCTCCTTCTCTCCTATCAAACATCTATCGTCCTTATCTCTCCTCCTTCTTCCCTATCAAACATCTATCGTCCTTATCTCTCCTCCTTCTCTCCTATCAAACATCTATCGTCCTTATCTCTCCTCCTTCTTTCCTATCAAACATCTATCGTCCTTATCTCTCCTCCTTCTTCCCTATCAAACATCTATCGTCCTTATCTCTCCTCCTTCTCTCAGTATAAACTACTCGTACTACACATACTCTCTTTTGCAACACCTCTGATCTTCGGCTCTTCCACCATGACCTATATTTGTTGTGCAAGTTTCGGCAAACTCTTTCTCTCACTAAATCAAAAAGCAAATTCCCGCCTTGTTCTTTGTGATTTTCACGAGTTGTTTCCAAGTTAGAGAACGCGGGTGGTTGGCGGGTGCTCTTGTGTGGATTGCTCCTTCTTTCCTATCAAACACCTATCGTCATGATCTCTCCTCCTTTTTTAATATTTGTTACTCTCTTGTAACACATCTAATCTTCGGCATTTATATGACCTTATTGTCATTGCAAGTGCCGTAAAACTCTTACTAAAACTCGGTGTAAATTCTTTGTACGTTTTGATTTTCTCGAGCAGCTGTCGAGTAAGAGAACAATTAGATGACTGGACTCCATGTCTGGAGTACAAATGTCCCTAGATAAACGAATGTCCCTAGATAAACGACGCGTGGAACGTTTGGACATCTGTCAAGACTGCCACCGTCGACAGCGTAAGGTTGCTGAGGCCGGAGAAAGTAAATGACGTTTTTAAGCTTACACCCTGTTTAACGCACGCTCAGCACACACACACACACACACACACACACACACACACACACACACACACACACACACACACACATACACACATTTACATCATTCATGGACGCACACAGCCGAACAGGAAGTCGATGAGGAGGTATCAATCAGTAATTATTCGTGCCTCTCACCTTTCCATTTGGGCATGATTTCGCTAGAGAGGACTTCAAAAGGAGCCCCTCGAGTAGGAGAAAGAGCGCTGGTACTGGTATCCCAACAAAGCAGGTTAGACTGTTACCCCACTACAGCAGCAACAGACGAGACAGACAAGCTCCCATCCGGCAATCACTCACATCGGCACAAACACAATAATGCATGGAGAGAAGTCTGATGTCACCCTCTGTGATGATGAACAACGATCCACGAAGGCCGATCTATGGAGACCCCGGTGGGAAAATTGTAGACGTGTTTGGGTTGGGGGTTGTTTTCCCAAGCTACAGTGTTGCAGTGTTTGTGTTAGATCAATGGGGTGTGCTCCGCCATTTCGCCATCTGTTCTTATCTCAATGTGTTGGATGGAGCGTCCATGTAGACTGTTTGCCGCAAAGAAGAAAAATTAGTAAGATAGCTGGGAACGCACCCATTTCCAAATTAACCGGATCTCCTCCAGTAAACCATTTTGAAATTAACTTTTTTAAACCAAGTGGCCATGCTTCCAAGGGCGCAAATGGTTCGTATAATTGCATAATAAAAAGAAAAACAAAACAAAAACGAAAAATTTGAAGCTAGCTACCACGTCATGGTTCGCTACTCTACTCTTGCGTGAACCGGTTCGGACAAAAATAATTCTAACGAAAAGAGAGAAGGAATCTTTCAATGACACTGCTCACAACCACTTGCTATGCAAACGTCAGAATCATTCTTCTTTCAAAGGGAGAGACAGTGAAACGAAAAGGAGAATCATTAAAGATGTAAACAATGAACGTTTGAATCAGTAACCCATGAACCAGTGCTTTCGGTTTTGAGAATGTAAATGAAATGGATAATCGGATTGGGTCTATTTCTTATGTCAAGAGAATTGTGCGTGACTTCTTGTGTTGTCTTATCACAACACATGGGACTCTCTCTCTCTCTCTCCCTCTCTCTCTCTCTCTCTCTCTCT